AAGCAGCAAAAACAAATAAAAAAAATAAGCAGAAACGACAAAACGTTTAAGGCTTTAGTGCATCGGTGTTGTTTTTAAAGTGTTTTATAAATAAAGTTGTAAACCACGAGAGAAGCCTGCAAACGCCCCGCGGTGCAGTACCGGCATCATTCCAGCAGAGGGCGCTGTTTCTCTCTTCAGCAGCGCAGGGTCACTGGGTTTGCGTGCATGCGCAGTAACCTCATTTGGCCTTTGATGCGCTCACAGTTTGTCCGCTGCTCAGCTCTAAAAAATATATAAAATTTTAGCGTCTCTGTTTGGCTTCAGGAGACAATTTTACACATCTTGTTGACAAGAAAGCCCACAGTAACGGTTCGGTGTGTGGACCCAGGTACGTTCATGTAAAAAATCGTGTATTTTGCCTGTTTAAGCGGTGTAGTCGTCTGCTTAGCTATTTTTTTTAGCCCAACTGATGAGCGCTCTCTTAGTTTGCTGCTATCGTGTGTTTTCTGGGATAATAACTACACGGTTATGTAGTTAATATTAGTCTCTTTGCTATCTAACAACCAGTAAGCGCTAGCAGCTAACAGCTCATCTACACCGGAACTGTGGGAAGAATCGAAGCTAAAGGTGCTAACTAACCACGGTTTGTACCAGCCTCGTTTAATGTTTAATTTAGCACAAATCAGCTGATGCGAGCTATGAAATCTTGAACAAGGGGATCGTTTTAAGTTCCTTTGTCTACATTTCGAACGCACTCGGGGGTTTGTTTTGGAGGAAAGTGCAGCGTTGACTTGCTAACGTAGCTAACTAGCATAGGGCTACTTTGAAAATAAACGGACAGGTTGAACAGCTCTGACTTCACGGTAAACAGGTGAAACACGGAGCGAAGGTGGAAACATCAGCTGATTACATTCGATTTGTAACGAGTGGTGCCTTCAGCTGGCCTAGCCTTCAGGTGTTGTAGTCTGGTCCATGCTTACATACGCACTAAACAATAAAAAATGGGGAAAAACGCTAAAAATAAACAAGTGTTTTAATGGAAAATGTAATAAACGGGAAAAAAATTACTATTTTACCAGGATGTAAATATAGGGAGACAAAAATTACTTTTTGTATTGTTTCTATATAACTGCTGTATTTTATTAGTACTTAATTCATGTCATTTAATAGCACTATTTATTCTGTGTTAATATACTTCTCTTTCTTAAAATAGTTTTATTTTGTTGTAGCTACTGTAATCTATAGCATGCACTGTTATTAAAATATTGAATTAAATGTGTATTATGTCAAGTTGCCGTATTGACATTCACAGCATTTCACTGGACATAAAAGCTATTTTTATTTAATTTGAGCGCTTTGTCCACGTTTCGGAAACAAAGACGAATTAAAATTGTTGTGCGGTCCGAGTTTCTGACCTCAATTTACTTTACAACTTCAATTTACTTCACAAAAATGTCATCTTGAGGCCTTTAACAAGTCAAAATTAGACCAAAACAAATGTAAATGTTAAATGGTCAGTTCATTCTTATTATAATACATTTCCTTGACATACATTATCTTCATCCAGGCCGCATCGCATTCGGCTGAATGCGATGCGGCCTGGATGAAGATCAGTTCCTCCAAATCCGAGGCCATGGTTTTGAGCCGGAAAAGGGTAGAGTGCCCTCTCCGGGTCAGGGAGGAGGT